AAGGCTGCCATGAGTCACACGAGTGTCCCAGGGTCACCTTGGAAACAAGGTCCCCAAAGAAGGCGGGCCCTGCAGGTGACACTGCCTCTAGCGCCACAGGGCCACGAGGAAAAGGCAGTCAGTGGACTCCTTCCGGGTCCAACCCAGGCCAAGGTGCCGCCTCATCCCAGAGAATAGACATTTCCAGATAATTGAGAGGTTACCTTTAAGCACAATTTAAGACTCCGAAGTGAATTATGCATTAACTGAAAGCCACTGGCCGCGACAAACAACCCACTGTATCTAGTTCTGCCTTCTAGACAGTGAGCAGAGCCTGGTGGTAACCTAGGACCGTCTCGGGCGGCCCCAGGTTCCTGGAGCCTGTCCCTGCCTGGGTGGGACTTCTCCAAGGGCCCGAGAAGCAGAGGCCGAGCCAGCTGACGCACGGTTAGAACAGGGGTCTAGGGCCGGGCGTGGTGGCTCACTCCTGTAATCCTAGCACTCTGGGAGGCCGAGGCGGGTGGATGGCTCAAGGTCAGGAGTTCGAGACCAGCCTGACCAAGAGCGAGACCCCGTCTCTACTAAAAAATAGAAAGAAATGATCTGGACAACTAAAAACATATATATGTAGAAAAAATTAGCCGGGCATGGTGGCACATGCCTGTAGTCCCAGCTACTTGGGAGGCTGAGGCAGGAGGATTGCTTGAGCCCAGGAGTTTGAGGTTGCTGTGAGCTAGGCTGACGCCACAGCACTCACTCTAGCCCGGGCAACAAAGCGAGACTCTGTCTCATAAAAAAAAAAAAAAAAAAAAAAGAACAGGGGTCTGAGTGATCCTCCCGCAGGACGAGCCACCGGCCGCTCCCACCTCCCCCAGGAACATCCTGCGTGGTCCTTGGCTCCGGGGGTAGGTCTGCTGTGACAGATGCCGCGCCTCGCGGGCTCAGGCAGCCAGACCAGCATCCTCTTGCCCCACCTCCTGTCCACGCACGCCCCTCTGCGACAGACCCTGGGACGGAAGCGCGCACAGTGGAGACTGCACTGCGGGCTGCGCGCCTGTCAGCTGGACTTGTGATCCTGGTTCACTCAGAGGAACCTGGTTGTTTTTTAACATGACGTGACCTGAAACTGTCTTGCGCCTCGTGGCGCAGGGAGGCTGCTGAACCTTCAGAGGAGCTGGGGCTCCAGTGGGCAGGAGTAGGCCTCGACGGGGGCCCTGGGCTGCCTCAGGGTGAGTGGAGGATGTTCCGGGGCAGGGGCCACCTTGTCCGGGCCCCAGCCTGTGGCGTGTTCCCTGTGCAGGGCTGACGCTTGGGCATCTGAGCAAGGAAGATGTGCCACGAGTTATACCCTCCCCAAGATCCCCTCTGAGCCTCCCAGGGGAGCCCCACACCCCAAGGGCCTGGTGCACCCTGAGGGGTTGGCCATGCCAAGGATGGGGGCTGGGGGCCACTCAAGCAGCTCCAGGGAAGCTGGGGCATCATGCACCCTCGCGCCATTCAAAGGGCATGGACATGGCTTTCCTCTGGGCCCAAGACGCAGCCCTGCCCTGGGTTGGCCCCATCTGCAATGGGTCCTCCATAGGTCCTGCTGCCTCACGGGGCACACATGCTTGCACAGGCCCCGAGAAGCGGTAGCGGAAGGGACCCTGGGCAAGGGGAGAGGGTGCCAGCAGAGCCTGGATCAGGGGACAGCAGTGGACATGGGGAAGGAGCAAGGGGATATTACAGCATCCCTGCCCCTTACAGGAGGGTCAGAGCGGAAGGGACGCTGGGGACTGCCGAGTATTAGCCGTCAGAGAAGCCTCTTTGGGACACCAGGGATCCGGGCAGCCCCAGCTACCACCAGCCCAGTCCCTGCCCACGAGGGACACTCCAGGTACCTGCCTCTGTGTCTCAGGGGCCAGTGGGGACCTGCTGGTGGTCCCCGACATCTCACTTGGGCCCCAGCTAGGGTAGCACAAGGGTCTCTCCCAACCCAGCGAGGCCAGCCCCGCTTCTCGACGGGCCACTTGCACACACCACAGCACTCGAACCCTGGGCCAGGAGGGCACGAGGGGCAGATGAGAAGAGGCTGACATCACAGGGAGAGGGTGGGGAGGGGAGGCCTCTCGACACCACCCTCCCTGTGCCTGCCAGTGCCTTGGGGTACTGCAGGAACACAGGTCAGTCGCCCTCGGTCAGAGCCCCCCCTTCCTCCTCTATTCAAGCAGGTCAGGTAGCCTCGACATTGTCATCTGTAAAATGGGGCCATTCCACCCACTTCACAGGAAGGAACACAACACGCCTCACAACCAGGAAGGAGGCCTTGTGGGTGGCTCGGAGCTGCCCAACGCAGGACTGCCTTCCAGGCCAACAGGCCTCTGCCCCAGTGGTCCCCTCTCTGGGCTGCTGTGGACCGTGGAGATGCTGTCTATCCAGTCGCTGACGCAAGCCTCATGCCTAGCTGTGGGGCACCCTCCACACCTGACTGAGTGGCAGCATTCACAGAGCAGCCCACAGGCTCTGCCTGGCACACCCAATGCCCAGCCATGGCCTCGACCTGGCATGAGCGTGGCCACCGAGCCCTAGCTGGACCTCAGACAAGAGGCTGACTGGTGGATGAAGGCCCCACTACGGCCCACCCCTACCACAAGACACTAACTCAATTTCCTGGGGCCCGGAGCCTCCTTCGCCAGGGCCCCATCTCACCTCCAGGTCAAGAGAAAGCCAACCAATCCACTGATGGCAACCTGCCCAGTGCCACCCACAGGCCCAAAAGGCCAGGGGTCCTGGCCCGGCTGCACCCAACACTTGGCCGCAGCAGCTCCCCACAGCCCTGCCTCTCCCACCTTCCTGCCTGCTCCCTGGCACCCTGCCCGCACCATCCGCCCACCGCCCAGCCCCGGTCAAGGCCCTGATGGACCACGAGCCCCCTGCAGAGGAAGGGGCTGCTCACTGCCCTTGTGTGGGCCTGGGCAGCTCTGTGGGGACCCTGCGGGTGGAAAGGTCAACCGTGCAGGACATTCCTCTACGGAC